TGTTTATTACCAATGCTTCTTCATTTTTAATGCTTGTTTGTTTTTTCAATCACGGCATCTTTGCCTGTGCATTTTGTCACAGTGTACAATCGACAATACTAAAGATGGGACTGATTACCGAGCTGAAACGCCAATGCGGCCGATCGTTGACAATCGTTCTTATGCATTAAATACACCAATGAATCCATGGGCAGAATCACTTGGCTTCAGTGAATTTACATGATATAATTTGTAGTAAAAAAGTAAACCTGTAATTATCCAGATGAAAATGAGTGACTTTTATTAAAAAAGACATATTCATTGTAGGTTTGTTTTTATGTATTGCTTATGATCTCCCTTAAAATTCCGGTCCTAATTAATATTCATGATTAAATGAATAAATTAGGCCACCTCCATATAAAGACCACCTGTCTATAAAGGACAGTTTGGCTCAGTCCACTGATTGTCCTTTATAGACAGGTTTGACTGTAACAGCTAATTGTCGAAACGAAGCTTACTCATTCACTTCACGCTAGTCGCAATAAACATCATACTATTGAATTGAATTTCTTTCGTTTTGGGTGGTCCAACTGCCACATCGAAAGTCGACATTGGTGGATTTTTCAATGAAAATACAAGTCCCCCCAAAAATATTTGATGATTGTTTTTTGAAATTTTGAACCCCAAATAAGGGCCCACCAGCCGTGAAATCGCCCAGGGCAATTTTTTGGATGGGCGAATTTATGGCAGAATCCGGTAATACCTTTGGTATATTCATTGTGATTTATTATTCGAAAGAGGAGAATTCTACTTATGAGGGTCCAGCATGCATTATAGTGGCATCACATCCAAAGCTCTCTTCACATTGGTTTCAGCCTACAATTCATGCTCCTTATTATAATAATGACCACCTCAAAAATGGGGTTGTGGAAATATTCTGGGATTTAAAAATAAAATTTTAAGAGAATTACATTGTATCATATAAAATAATAAAATTGCCTTGGATTGACAGTTTTGACTAAGACGTATATCTTTGAAAACCTTGACAAACTCGTACTTCCAGTGATATTTCCAAGTAAGACCAAAAACAATAGAAACAAACAATAAAATTGGAAAGCCTTTGTCTGTCAACATCTATGTCTCTAATTGTAGCACCTCTTCAGTCCAGTCCTCCCCAAGGATTTACTATGATTAGAGATATGAATTTTTTTGGGGTTTCAACTACTAAAAACTAGTCAATATTTTATTCAAAGTATCGGTATATAGTCGTTTTCACCAGCTGTAGGCTTATGTCTATATAACTGGGCTTACCGAGAGCCCAAAAGTCTTCCTTCGTTTTTCACAAGTTTGTAAACACTGTTATTGTAACAGTACCTATAGATTTTAGTTGTTGCTCAGTGTTAGTGTGTTCAATTTAACTTATGGGACCCATATTCTACACTTGTTTTTGTTTTTTTTGTAGGATTTTGTGAAAAATAAACTTTTTAATTGTGATTACAGATTACATTGAATGAGTCAGTTCAGTCAATAGCACAGAAACGAGACTGGAAACCTGTGTTTTTTGATGAAGACAGTGATCCATTAGTTGTTCCATCATTGGTTGATTTGAAGTGGATAGTCAATGAGAGTCCAGATAAAAGAATCAGGGGACGGTAAGTATGTTGTCTACATATATAACCAAACTTGAAGGAAAGTGTCACATGTTTTGTTAGAGGTCAAAGTTCATGCATGCAGCTGTACCTTCTATGTATATACATCCCTTCAAATTGTGAATATTTTAAAATTAAAAAAAATATCTAGTTTGCCATTTGACAACCTGAAAATATGACTGTCTAAACATAAGCCAGCGATAAAAGTAATATTTACAGAATATCAACCTCACAACCTGCCACAATACTGTAGAATACTTTATTTTCGCTTGGAATTTATTTTCGCTGAAGGGATGATTCCATGAAAATAAAATCCAGCGAATATACTTTTTTTCCTATATTTCACATTAAACTCGCCAAAAATCAGTGAAAATAAATTCCATACAAAACGCCCAAAAAGCTATTTCAGCGAAAACTAATTCCAGCGAAAATAAAGTATTCCACAGTATTTAAAGTTATCAGGACAGGAAAATGTACAAGTACATAGGACT